TATTCACTTGGGGTTTCATAATCCATAAGTCAGTCAAAACTGAAGTGTTGGTGTACTGCACAAGGCCTTTTGCCAGACAGGATGGACAATCATCAGGCTTTCGTTTGGTCAACAGTCTTGTCATATGGCCAATACAGATAGCTCCATTGGGATGGTCTGCCAAAGAAATCGATCTTCCAACCGTTGTCTCATCAAAGGACAACTGCTGGTAGTTGTTCGTAATGCGGCTGCATAAACTCTTTTTTGTCATTAGCGAAATAAACCGATTTGGTTTTGACGGGAGACTCAGCTGAAACCCAGGTAAATCTCCCGCTTATGGTGTTTTTAAGGAGTTTTCAGCAACCTAATGAGCAGTGTATTACATCTATTCGTGTTCCTGGTCATCTCTATGAGGTACTGTGTACACAAATGTCACGCTGTATCTCAGTTTTATGACAGACGAAGGCATGTATGCTTTATTAACACCTTAGTGTTTCCGGTCCCTAACCTACTTGATTTCATACCTCGTTCTAAATTCCTACCGGGATAGCAGGTTTCATAGAAGGTGTTCAACAGCAGTTAAGCTACTTCACGATGTGTACCTGCTTTGCATGTTTTTTTACTGTCCATCTGAAAGGACACCATACCAGAGTTGCGTTCACCTTCGTGGGAATATATATTGCGAAGTTGGTGTATTGTCGCATCTAATCTACCTTTCTACAGACACAGCATTTCAGAAGCCAAAAAATCTGTACACTACCATTCCATGTAGTTTCATTACATGTTGAAAATAAATACTGGATTGGTTGGTACGTTTGGAATCATTTTGTCCGGACCCAGGTTTACCCCACTCTATCCACAGAGGTGCCCCAGTGAAGCAGAGCATTCTCGGCGACTACCGTTCAGCATGTGACACACGTACTTCTGCTGATCCAGCTACCACACCAGCAGCTATTTCTGGATTGCTGTTGGAGTACTATGGACGATACCTGATCCAAGTTTGTGCTCCTGGCAAGCGTCGCACTTGTGGGGTGATGAACGTGGAGTGTAAGAGGAGGCATCGCGCCTTAATGCTGTCCCCTGTCTTAGTGAAAAAATATCTTTCTTCTTTCTCAGTCTAGGTCGGTTGACCAGTAAGGCGATTAGGCTGAAGCCCACCGCTCACGAAAACATTACAAGATAGAAGATCACTTCCCGATGGCGGGTTCCTCCTTCCAACGACCGGTGCCTCTATTTCCGCCAAGTTATAGAGTGATAGCTCTTACTCTTGCTTGCTTCCACATTGTTTCCACCAGCTATTGCAACCTTTACTGTACCTAGTTTAAAACTTTTTCTTCACTTCTGAGAGGACTGCTCAGAAGAAATGACACTTCACCCTGTGTATTCCCATCGTAAACACGCAATCTTTTCGGAAGATATGCCTGTACTAGGAGGAATTTGGTGGATCTGACTGCAAAGTTGATCAACGGTTCATTGGCAAATAAACTGTGATGAACATGACTGATGCTCTATTCATTGCTCTATTCATTATTCTCTTGTTTTAATATTCCATATGCTGTACATATTCGCCAATTCGAATATATACGTGCTGGTTGCCACTCTTCGCTGAATTCTGGATTTCTAGTTTGTCGGGTTGTACCGATATACGTACGAAACTTAATTACCACATTTTGGCGTCGCGATTGGAACAATTCACCATGCCTGCCGAAATGGAACCATTAGATGTTAATTCAACTGCGCATATCGCTAGGTTCCTTCATTATTTAATCTTATTTAATCTTAGCCAAATTTTCTCTGTTGATGCGGTTGTTTTAGCTGTGGTGCGTCATTGGTCGGTTTCTGCTCAGGAAGTATTTGAGGCCTGGCTGAAATTTATTCAAAGTATCCAGACTGACTTTAACCATTTTGTGGAACTGTCTCACTGCGCCTCGTTTTTTAACAAGCCTTGAAAGGCATTACTATATGCTTTTCAAATAATTGTTGGGTTCCGAAGATGTTGACTACAAAACTCATATTCGTAGACTGCTCTTTTATGGAGTGTACGCCTTCCATGGCCTTGAACCAACCAGAATGCAGTAAATGTACCCATGATGTGGGCCACAACTGACGCAGGATACCGCGCATTTTCTCACCAGAGTTTGTCATATTTTTGTATGGAAAAGCCAGTAGCACTTTTAGCTATCTTGGATAAAGCGAACATGTTGGGGGGCTGCCTCTACAAAAGAATTTACCAACAGAGAAAATCCCCCTTCCAGTTCCGTGAAGAACAGGTTCACCACGAATAAATTTGTGGACAAGAAAAAACCATCCTACCAACAACAGGAGAGGATCTTGTCATAAATATATGGAAACTCTTCAGATGAGACCACTTGGTCCATCAAAGGTGGTTTTACCATTCCACCACCCTTACTAGAGGAGGAATAATTTCGCAACATCAGTGAAACTTCTTTCAGAGAAGCCGTCACTCGAGAAGCCAGTGACCTCGTAATTGGGGTTCCCTGAGTGAGGATCGGAAGTACTGTGTCCTCTCCAAGGGAGAGTTGGTCACACTGCTGTCCAGCCACTCGAGGCCAAACGGTTGGGTGTTGAACCACCGGCCGGAAGGTCACTGAATCATACCTCTTTGAGTTTTGTGAGGCGTGTACTGTTGGTGATTCACACTTAGCATAAAACAGCTGTACAGTGCCTCGAGGCTTTCAGCATAGATTAGTTTCACTTACAGGTTGAATTCCCTTTGTAAAATTTGCAAATCTCCTCACACCATCATAAAACTATAGTTTGTCATTCGAGAGTTTTACACTTGTAGAACCACGGGTGTAAGAAAAGCATGTAGGAGAGAAATAATGGGAAAAACTTGTCCAAAATGAATTCATGACTCATGATGCGGTCAGCCTAGTGGTCTACTTCAGCGATATTTCGTTCAAGAGATCACGTTGTGCCAGGTTACTCATTAAAGACTGAGTGAAGTGCGTGGTTTCATTGTTCCTTCAGATCCATTCAATACAATCGGTCGCATACTTGCCTCCTTGCCTAGCACAGTTAACATCAAGTCAGTAGCTGCAAAAGCATGTTTCTGGTGGGACCAGAAATAATGCAATCTCGGCCGTGTCAGAAAATGCATCTGAAGGTATGGTTCCCATACTGTGCACAGGGTTGTCTTCTCCACTATCCCCTACACCAATCTAGGTAAAATCTAGGATCTTAGATGACAAACACCTGACGGCATTAACTCACTCCGAAATTAGGGAACAAAGCAATGATACTAATCCCCGCTGAACCCACTTCGAGGAGTAAGATTAATATCGTCCAGAGACAAACGGGCGATATTTGAAGCGCTTTTGCCAAGGGGTATATTATACTACTGCAAGTAGGTTCCAGTAGTCATAACTCGGTATAAACTCACAATGCATCAAACCGAATTTCAGTATAGATTCAAAATACCTGGGTAATAACTTCAACCGTTGCCACACTCTCCTCGTCCGAGGTGCCGAATTGTGTTATTTTTTCCTCTTTAGGCCGGGAAATATTTCGCTGCGAACACGCATTTTCGATAGCATCCCGCCAGACAAAAACTGTTATGAATTATCTGGTTATGTTGAAAGTTACTTGAGTTGTGTAACTGATAAAAAATAATCGATACGAAATAAGCGAATCCAATTTTTGCTGATGGTTTGGCATAAACCATGTGAACTCGCTTATTTGTTGATGGCATCACTATTCGATAGCCAACCAGAAGCGATCGGAAATAACGGTCTTAACCAGAGTGACCACTCTTATTTTTGGTCCAACGCTAACTCACTACTGCATCAGTCACCCAATGGCACTCTGTAGTGGGCAAGGACTTGAGTACCTGACAGAATACAGATTCAGTATTCCAACATTTTGACTTTCAGGTCTATCAGTAATTTGGGAATCTATTTGGTTGGTTTGCCGTTACTGATGAACCCAGCTAGTATCAAGAATTTCATCCATCCTTCATTTTGGTGACAGTCAACCGCCCGATTGGCCAAACGGCAATCGCTGCTTATAACTTCGTCTGCCTGATGGCCTCGCAGCCATTCATCAGCACCTGATTGATCAGTCTGGACATTTTATGTGAGTTTATCAGGCAAATCTTGCCGTCATCTAGATGGCAGGCAAAATGGCCTAATCTGTTTGGCAGGTTCGTCGAATGGTCGAATGTTCCCGAGTTTCCTCTAACAGACACCCAACTTTGGGTCCAGTAAAATTCGCCGAGTATACTCAAGCTGCTGAAAAAACGAGCACTGACTAGGCACTCACCAAAAATCTGTCTTTAATGGTGATGTGAAGCGGTAAGCCCTCCTTTTACGAGGATTATGTGCTCAAAATAGATAGTAAGACAACAGATGAACGTTCAAAAGGCGGGTGGATACAAACGAATTCAAAATCCATTCCGTTTGAACCGATTTTTTTGGTATTACTTCACTTGTGCATAACATGAACGGAAAGCTAGTTGGAGCGGGGAATTTTGTTGACCCACAAGGTTTAGTTGGTTGAGGTAAAAGCAATACCAAAGCAAGTGACACGGATAAATGTTTTACAGCCGTCCAGGTCAAACATTGGATCATAGCAGTTGAAGCTTTCCAAACTGCTCCATATCTAACTCCATCGAGTACCTACTTCCCCTCTAATACTACTGTGCAGCTGTGTACCGTGCTCACAGTTTTCAAGTTGCTCATCATTCCGATGTACGACCACCCCTTATATGCAACCGAATTAGCTTAGCTTTTCCAGGACGTACCAGAGTGGTCACGTTGGACTGGTAAAGCACTTCGAGCACACCTCCTAATTAAGCTTGGCTGCTGTGGACATTTCTCAACACTGAAATGCCGTGGCTGACTTAAATGTGGATAAAATAAAGAACCGTTTTGCTGCCGACCCTCCAACTTGTAAACCCACAGTTTCGGTCTCAATTGCTAGCTCTCCACGCCCTGAACAAACAGGTCACACAAACGGCTGGTTGACAGGAAATGCAACTGTTCATTTGTTTTTTTTTTCAGAAGACAGACATCGTCCCACCAGACTGTCATCTGGCCAATTATTTTGCACACAGCGTTCACGTTTTCTTCAAAGTCCGTTATGAAGCGAAGGTGGTGAACGGCATTTCATGGTACCTCCCTCTTCCGATCTGGACATTTTATGTGAGTTTATCAGGCAAATCTTGCCGTCATCTAGATGGCAGGCAAAATGGCCTAATCTGTTTGGCAGGTTCGTCGAATGGTCGAATGTTCCCGAGTTTCCTCTAACAGACACCCAACTTTGGGTCCAGTAAAATTCGCCGAGTATACTCAAGCTGCTGAAAAAACGAGCACTGACTAGGCACTCACCAAAAATCTGTCTTTAATGGTGATGTGAAGCGGTAAGCCCTCCTTTTACGAGGATTATGTGCTCAAAATAGATAGTAAGACAACAGATGAACGTTCAAAAGGCGGGTGGATACAAACGAATTCAAAATCCATTCCGTTTGAACCGATTTTTTTGGTATTACTTCACTTGTGCATAACATGAACGGAAAGCTAGTTGGAGCGGGGAATTTTGTTGACCCACAAGGTTTAGTTGGTTGAGGTAAAAGCAATACCAAAGCAAGTGACACGGATAAATGTTTTACAGCCGTCCAGGTCAAACATTGGATCATAGCAGTTGAAGCTTTCCAAACTGCTCCATATCTAACTCCATCGAGTACCTACTTCCCCTCTAATACTACTGTGCAGCTGTGTACCGTGCTCACAGTTTTCAAGTTGCTCATCATTCCGATGTACGACCACCCCTTATATGCAACCGAATTAGCTTAGCTTTTCCAGGACGTACCAGAGTGGTCACGTTGGACTGGTAAAGCACTTCGAGCACACCTCCTAATTAAGCTTGGCTGCTGTGGACATTTCTCAACACTGAAATGCCGTGGCTGACTTAAATGTGGATAAAATAAAGAACCGTTTTGCTGCCGACCCTCCAACTTGTAAACCCACAGTTTCGGTCTCAATTGCTAGCTCTCCACGCCCTGAACAAACAGGTCACACAAACGGCTGGTTGACAGGAAATGCAACTGTTCATTTGTTTTTTTTTTCAGAAGACAGACATCGTCCCACCAGACTGTCATCTGGCCAATTATTTTGCACACAGCGTTCACGTTTTCTTCAAAGTCCGTTATGAAGCCAAGGTGGTGAACGGCATTTCATGGTACCTCCCTTTTCCGATCTCAAGCAAAATCCGCGAAAACGCCGCAGTGTAAACATGGTTTAATAATTACTGAACGTCAGTAAAACAGCGTTTGAGTGTCAGTCACAAACTGGTGTCGGCAAATAATGCAGACTTTTGCTCGTTAGGTCTGAAAATGTCGGTCTAAACTGCTGGCTGCCACACATGTGAATAAACAAGCACACATTCTTAAGAAGTGTCGGTTTCTCAAAGCCTTTGTTGATTGACACAACTAAATTACTAATGTACTGCGGGGCGTTTGTCGGTTTGGTAATTTACTGAGACAAGCGTGGCCTGTTTGACGGTTTAGGACAAACCTCCATGTTTTGTGCCTGGTGGAGTAATTAGAAGACAAAATATTTTAGGATGGAATTTTATTGATATATTTGAGATTGAAAGATCGCCGTAATCAAGAAATCCATCCAGGTTCAACTATTGAGTTCAGAAATAGACTTTGTAGCCTCACCATTTCGCAGTCCGACAATGACTTCCGGGATCCCTTTTCAATATTCTTTCGAGTAATATAAACAAGATGGACATCCACTTCTGACTGAAGACGGAGCACGGCACAAAACTAAAAGTCATTTTTTCCTACACAGATCCAGCTGCCATCGTCGAATAGCATAGTAGATTCCTACTGTTTTCTGGGCTAGACACGAAATCAGATGTAGTCTTTGAACCAATGCGATGCTCACTTCCAAGTAGATGTCTGGTAGCTGACGAGGCCAGCAACTTGGGATGATCCTGTTTGCCTTTGGTGTTGTGTCAGTGCATCTGATTGGTCCAACTGTATTCGCGCTCCTAACGGCACTTGTTCCCCACAGTCAGTAGTAGTTACAGTTCCTTTCCGCTTATGTAGGTGGCCGTGAAGCGGTAGCTTATGTCACATTTGACTGACGGTGGGGGGTACTTGGAAGATGACGACCTTGCTGACGTCGTTCATGTGGTTCGAAAAACAGTACGTGCTTCATAAGATACAGCGAAACAAATCTGGCAAATCACGCACAAGTGGTGTTGTGCTTCATCTTCATGTTCGTCACGAAAGAAAAAACAGTTCCCCTATTCTGGTTGTCAACTCCTGTAACTCCATATGCTGAGTGTGAATTTCAACTATATTGGAATGCAGATGCTCCGCAAAGTATCTGACGAAACCTTACATTTTTTTCCATTGTGCATATATAAATGTGAAAAAGACGTCGAACTCGTCTATCATTAAGCGTGCTTTGAGATATTTTCGGATTCTCCGAGTGCATTTGAATGTTTTTTTTCCAAATGCACTTGCTTCCTATGGGGCAGTCCGCAAGTCTGCGAACATAACGTGATCTTCGCATTACAAGACATGTAGGTGGTGGACGTTTGAAAAGCTACTTCAAAGCCGACACAAAAATATGATATCCAATGCGGATGCCTCCTCTTTTCATTCTTGCCTACTGTAGTCGCAGATAAAAAATTGATTCTTCAGCCCCTCATTGTTCATATGGTCGGTGTTGATGGACTTATTGACCGGGAGTATGCAGAAGATTTCGTTCTCATCGTCGATAACAGACAGAAAGCGCAATGAGCAGCAACAGACGCCACCAATTCTTCGACACGTTGTGTGCAACTACAAAGTGAAGCTCATGCTTCCGAATCTTTAGTAACTAAACCTCTCCCACAAACGGTTGAAAAAGGTACCAGTGATTCTGGAGAGTTTTACATATCTCAGTGTCTGCGTTGGCCCCAATACAGGTGCGTCTCATGGGGTTATTGTGGAATAAACTAAGGGTCCAGTCACCTCTACACGCGGGTTGTAATTCTGTCTTCCAGAAAGTGGAAGACCTGGGGAATTATCTGGTCTTTGATCAAAGTTGTCTCAGCCTCCACACTTTTTGTCGTATTGTCCGTAAAATTTGTTTTGTAACAGGTGCTTTAATCAGAAAAAACTCATCCTAACTCCAACCAAGTGACTTAGCTCTCTATTGTGCACCCCGAATCACCGTCTCCTGAAGCCAGTTTTGTTCATTATGCCCCACTCCGAACAGTGTGAACTTTAAGGTAGATATTGGGGGAAGAATATGAAAGAGAGAACGAAATGTTTTGAGGTTTAGTGTGGCCTGTTCCGCAGCATGGGATAAATGCGACCGCACTTATGGTTGTCCCGAGACTCTGCCAAATGTAGCCACTAGCCGATCCAAAGAGCATTTTTGTTGTCATTTTCGATCCACTTGTTTGGATGACAAATGAAAGGTTAGGAGACTCTAGAATCAGTTTAAAAGGCTGCTACTACACCTGTTAAGCCAAAAATAATCTTTTTTACCTAAACACCAAAAAAGCATCAGCGTCGACACTAACGTTGCTATCTATGAGCAGACCGACAGTGCTGATGACAACGGCAAAGGCGATGTTCCCCGGGTGAGTTACTTGGGAATGTATTGTTCATACTCAACTATTCATATCATTAGTTGATCGCGTATTTCTGAACTATTAGCAACACTTGGCACAAATTCGGTTCCTGGTAGTACTATAAAGGTCTTAACAACAACCGGGTAAGAAAAACTGGCATATTATCTGCTTTTAAGTTCCTCTTGGCCTTCTGCAAATTATTTCATGACTTTTCTGATAACCTCAAGAAATTCAGGAGAACTTGTCCGATTTTTTTTGTTGAAATTTTGAACAAACCGTGCTTCAAGCTAAGTCTGTAACGAATGACTAAAATACGGATTGTAGAAGAGTTTGAGATTCTCTATGCAAAGCAATTGTTACTCTGTGAACTGTGCCGTTAGCTCATCATTACCAAAACACTTTGTTCTCGCTTTGACCCATAGTCGCGTCGCATATATTGGGTGGCTCGTGCCGCCAGTGTAACGACAGCTGATGATTTCTATACAGAGTTAGCTAATACTCACAAAGCAATCAATATCACTAGTTGTCCAACCGATTTCTCTGGAAATAAACCCGATGGTAGGTAACAGTTCTGTATCCAGCTCTCATGGATTCTAAAATATCTCTCAATTAGGTACTATACATTCATGGACTAACCACGAAATGACCAAATTTTGTGGCAGCTCATGGTAATTCGTGCAGTCCATGCCCAAATTTCTGCCTACCGGCCTTGCCGTAGCCACAGTTTGATGGATATTTTACACTTATATAGGCCCAAATCATCAAGAAATTTTCCTGTACTATGTGTTGCATTGTCATTTAGCCGTATTGAATCCGGATATTTTACTAATCCCATATAGCCCCTCGATGTGTGTTGTTCAGAAGAAGAGAACGTTGAAGTGACAACGTTTCTCAGTTTGTGTTATGGAAGACTAGCATGCGTGCTCTCATATATGCGTTTCGCTCGCATTGCCGTTTACCTAACCATAAAATGCCTACAATACGTCGGCGTCACATGCACTGCGTGATTGAAAACTGGGTATTTTGTGTAGTTGCATGTCACTCATCGGTCGAATGGGGATAGTGATCATGTCTAACTAGAAGTTCATAGGTACGAATGCCCTCGGAAACACATGAGACATGCACCACTGCACAATGCTTTTTGGTCTTTCAGCACAAATGGACTGCACGCACAGGAGGAAGTCTCGGCTGATGTTTAGAAATTTCTTCGTCACTAAGACTTACTTCGTTTCTTTTGTTTCTGCGACCTTACAAGTCGAGGTTGCGTAGATGTAATTCATCCAGTGCATTCGGAGTAGCCAGTTCGTCGTCACCCACACATCTACCTTGTCCATAAGAAGATTAAATTAACTAATACATGTATAATTATGTTTTGTGCGATTGTCCATGGATAATTCTCCCCATTTTACATGCGTTCTGTAGATAGTTACCTCTACTTCGTGGATAGACAACCCTTGAAGAATTATCGTGATCCATAACTTGGCCCACCATTTAGTCGCTTGTGCTACCGTACATTCAACTTCCGACTGACAGTTGATTTCGGCCTTATTATCGGTTAACTGGGTTATGCTTTCCATTACGATTGTCTACCGCTTGTAGTGTCCGTAATCCGTTGTCACATTTACCATTCTTCCTGAACTTGAACCATACTTTGTAACTGTCGTTCACATTGTATCATGACGTTTGTTTTAATGTTACGAATACATAATTTTCCGGCGCGACCAGCTGACTTCTTGCTCAACGAGCGTATTTACGCTCCGTTGAACTGTTTGTTGACTGCTGAACCAGTGGGAC